ATACATATTTTTTTGTCTGATGGTTAAAAACGTTATTACCAGATGAACTACAACCTCTACCAATAATAAAAAAAAAAGAATTAAAAAATATTATAGATGTATTAACGATTCATGCTACATCCTCGCCGGCATATTAGCCTCGTTTTCGTACATATAATAATATGGACGTTGATCTTATTGACTAAATTCTCGGTGGGTTGCTTATTATAGCAAATATTGGAAGTGGCATCTCTGATTAAAATCATGAGCGTGGATAAAATTCAGTCGCCCAATGAATATTGACCAAGAATTAGCACTCAAATAACATCAAACATTTCCCTGGTGGCTATTTCCTGACTGTCGTAATTAATTTTACATTGTTTACGCGAGATGAATTTGTGACTGGTTGAACACAGACGGCATATTTCACTTGAAGGTTTCACGCCAAGTTCGGTGTGGATTCAACTGAACGGAGAGCAAAGTCGATTTCAAAACGAAGACGTATTTTAATATGTATTAGTTAAACAATGGACTTCTATCAAATACATTTTATTGATTTATTAATTGATTTCTGTTTAATTCTAAAAAGGGTAAAAGAAGACCCATCATCATCATCATCGTCATCTATATGCACTGTCCCTTCAGCAAGTGTGTGATCAGGACTCCACTCAACTTTATAGCTTTTAGAAAGATTTGTTTGTCAGCATCCCTTAAAATCTCTGTTCTGTCATTCTTTCGTGCGAGGTCACTCGATGTTTACCTATGTTCTGTGAATGTCAAAATTTCCATAACCCTCTTCGCCATTATGTATCTCATTCTGATTGTAAGTATAAGCGTCAAAAATTTCCATTTCCTTTGCAATATTCCCGTCACCCAGAATTTCCATCCATTAGATTCTCTGCATACTTCCATAGTGCTATTTTCTACTAATACGAGTCTAGTCTTCATCTGAGATAATTATTCAACATATACTGCAATATAAAAGGTCTGTTTGGCACTCTTTTCCTGTTTCTAACAAGATGTTTCTGATTTTCTTTTAATAACTTGGATAGCTTTTGGATCGTTTTCATTCACCATAATTTCAGTGTCACATTGTTCCGGATTTTATTAAAACACATTTCAAGTATTTAAATGTTCATACATTCTTGATTTTGGCACCTGCAATACTTAATGCCTCTCTTAGAAAACTTACTACACCGAAATCTGCACACGCATTAGGTTAAGGCTTCTATTGTTTGTTTAATGGCTATAAAATCCTTATAGATTATTTAATGTCAAAATTTAGTTTTCTTGAGAGCATTAAAAACTGCTTTTGCAAAAATGGATTTCTGGTAATTTTTTCTTCATAATGTCTTGCTGGTATTTTATTATACACCAGGTGTAACAGCAAAAGATCCAAATCGTGTAACAGCAAAATTCTCCATGTCTTAGATTAAGCATTGAATAGGTGTATCTCAGAAATGATTAAAGATATCTTACTGGAATCCTTCGAAATTTTTATAACACTATTTGATACTACTTTAAACAATTAGAATGTATTTAGTTGAAATGATGACCCCTCTTGCCGTTGTGACCTCCTGATTCAGTTTTTTTTAAACTTATTCACCTTACTCTTGATGGTTCTTAAATAGACTTTGAAAATGGAAGACAGAGTTTGGATGTTAGTACCATTTCTGAAGCCTGAATGAACTTTTTCCTCTTACCTTTGCTCAGTTGGGAAGGCATAGTGGGGATGAAACAAAAAGATTTTAACCTGTTCGTTTTCTAACTGACTAACTCAACGAGTTTTCAGTGATTCTTACGACAAATGGTAACATGATGGCTAAACGTCTTATTTGGAAAAAAAAAGAAACTCAATTAGTTTAGTGGTTTTTAAGATATTAAATCTTTTGTGGGATGGACAATTATTCCATGCTTTGAACAATTTCGCTGTTACACTCGGTAAATATACTTTTTGTTGTGTTTTGACACCAGTTTTTTCTTGTTAGCTATTTGATCATATTTGACCCTAACACGTGCTACCAATCCGGGTCAAAATGGACCTGGGAACAACAGCAATTAAGAGGTGCTTTCGCACTCCTTGCTGCCGGATCTAGTTTATTGCCATACACAAGACCAGCAATGGGTTAGTGAAAAGTGCATTCCAAAAGTATCTGTCTATATTTCTGAGATGAGGTATTATGTACATTATTTACATTATTCAGACTATAGTCCTCATCTTTGTTACCATATTTATTACAACGTTTCAGCCTTTCAGTATCTGTCTATATTTCTGAGATGAGGTATTATGTACACTATTTACATTATTCAAACTATTGTCCTCATCTTTGTCGCCATATTTATTACAAAGTTTCGGCCGTTGTACGCTCTGGTTTTCTTCAGGTGGTTGAAATGACGAACTGAACCCTTTATTTCGCTCACTGGAGTAGATTGCTCTAGTTCCACGTGCCATGTTTGATGGATATCAGTTATCAGTTATCTCCTGTTAATTTCCCTCTGAAAGTTCTCCACTGCCTTAACCAAGTATTGAATTCACCCTCTTTGGGCCCTGTCACTGGATCTAACCAACGCCTTTATCCACCGTGCCAGACAGATACTGAAGTCCGAAGTTATAGGATTAACAATTCAGCAGAAGGCGAAGGCAATTAAGCAGAATCAAAAAAGAAAGGGGCTTTTTAAAGTGCATTCATCAGATCGACGGCAGTCGGGGTTACATTTTCTTTGTGAGTAATATAATGCTGTCGTTAAAATAAAAGAAAGAAACCTGAACTGTCCGTTCTCTTAGACGGATTGCCAACAAAAGCTAAAGAGCCCATTCGATAGCAATGTAAAATTTTCGGGTCCCAAAGTCTCTTAATTTTGAAACAGTAATATTTTATTATTTTTATATTTCCCTAGGATAACCATTATCGCAAAAAATATCTCTTTAATTCTAATTCTTGTTCTAACAGATCAATAAAGCTCAGTGGACAAATATCTTTATAACATACATTTTCATTTTACACTGTTTAGGATTTATCTCAATTTTGATGACCATGTATTCTGTTTCATACATTTAGAAATTACGCCTTTCAGAGATTCCCTTACTAGCTTGTCTAAGAGATCTTGAAGTAGGCTTTTTCGAGTCACTCAGAAGAATAGTTTTATTCGAGTATCTTACCTGGTTATGATGATATACGAGGAAAAGAAATACTGATAGGTTTTCTAGTTGTCTTAGGGTTAGCTCCATGTATACATAGGGTAACTTAGTGATTTACTAAGTGTAGCTTATATATATGGCACAAGGCCAGTGAGCATTCAGTGATGATCAACCTCGCTACCCTGAACAAAGAAATAGACACTAACTACTGGAATAGATGTTTGTTTACAATTCAGTTTCCCCATGGTTGGGAAAGCTTTCGCTGCAACATTGTCTAATTTTGGGGAAAGCAGACACGTCCATTTCATCTTAGTACTTCTTAGACTTCTTGAAAAGTATTCTTTAGTACTTTCTTGCTTCTTTCTCCACGGTTTTTGATTCAGAGTAGCTGATTATGGCTCTCTACAGCTTCCTTTTGTTTATTATCTGTGTATTATCATATGTTCTTGGGAAAGATAGCGGAAAAGTATTCCGTTGATTTTTCAAAGGTTTTCAATTCAGAGCCGGTGAACAAGCCTCTCCACAGCTTCCTTTTGTTTATTATCTGTGAATTATCATATGTTGGGAAAGATAGCGGAAACATATTCCGTTAATTTTTTCAAGGTTTTCAATTCAGAGCAAGTGAACAAGGCTCTCCACAGCTTCCATTTTTATTATCTGTGAATTATCATATCTTCTTGGGAAAGATAATGGAGATGTATCCTGTTGATTTTTTCCAAGGTTTTCAATTCAGAGCAGGTGATCAAGGCTCTCCACAGCTTCCTTTTGTGAATTATCAAAACTTCTTGGGAAAGATAGCGGATACCTATTCTCTTGCTTTTTTTCAATGTTTTCAATTCAGCTTAGCTCATCAAGGGTCTCCACAGCTTTCTTTTTATTTATTATCTGTCAATTTTCATATCTTCGTGGGAAAGCGGGAACGTATTCCGTTAAATTTTCCAATGTTTTCAATTCATAGTAGCTGATCAAGGCTCTCCACAGCTTCCTTTTTTGATTATTTGTGAATTATTATGACATTTTTTTCTGAAAGTGTATTAGTTTCCTATGACTTTGTCCACACATTTCAGTTCAGAGAACATATTCTCTTACACTGGTTGTCATCGAAGTCTAAAATGTTCAGTTTATCCTGCTATTAAACTGAGGAAGAGTGCAGTTGGATTTATATCATTTAACGAGAAATCATTGCCTAAAAGAACGTAAGAAGCCAGGTCGAGAAGGGAACCCGTTTCGCTAATTTCACTTTCTATGCTAATCATTTGCTTAACCGAGACGACCCCTGATAAAATGATTGCTAAATTTAGGTTAAATTTAGATGATACCAAATTTTTCAAACGAGTGCCCATTATACATTAGAGATTTTTTTTATTTATTGTTTATTTGTCAGAATGGCGCAGCCCAATGTTAGATGTTCGCATCATACGCCTATAATTGTGCTATCGACTTTTCTAAAAGCTCTTGAAAAGTTCCGAGCTTTCCCGAAGTGAGTTTTGACTTCAAATGCAGCATAATATTATTTGAGCATTCACATGGATTGAGTACTACGATGAACTTATTGAAGGAGAATTCAGGAGACTGAAAGCACTTCATATTTGTAAAAAAAAAAAATTATGTAGTCAAAATAATGTAATGAAATAAAGTTTTAGCTTAAAATGAACATATATTTTTAAAACCATTATGGCTTTCGAAATAAAAATATACAAATATCAAGCTTAGAAAATACAGACATTTTGTTTAGGAAAGGATAATATTTTTTTTAAAAGAAGGAAAGCGTTTAATGAAAATATATAAAGGGAATATTAAAGACTGAATAGAAAATAAGTAAATAAATAAATAAATAAATAAAGAGAGCTGAAACGTGAAGAACATATAGATATAGAGATAACTAATAAAAGAAAAGAACGACAAAAGAAAGAAAAAAGAAGAGACTGAAAAAAGTATCTAGATATAGCAATAGAAAGAAAGAAAGAATGAAAAGGAGTTTTGAAAAAGTTTTGAAAGAAAGGGAGTTGAAACGTTTATCCAGATATAGAGATAATAAAAGAAAGAAAAGCTTTTGAAAGAAAAGAAAAGAAAGAAAAATATAAAAAAGGGAGTTAAAATGAAGATTCCGATATAGAGATAATAAAAGGAAAAAGAAAAGAAAAAAAGAAAGAAAGAAAAGAAAGAAAAGAAGAAAAGACCTGCAAAACGTGAAGGGTGTCCCGATATAGAGATAATAAAAAAGAAAGAAAGAAAGAAAGAAAGAAAAGAAAAGAAAGAAAAAGAAAGAAAGAGAGTTAAAACGTGAAGGGTGTTTGAAAGAGATAAAAAGAATTTGAAAAAAAGAAATGAAAGAAAGAAAAGAAAAGAAAAAAACAGAAAGAAAGAGATTTTAAAAAAGGGTGGAATAGAGATAATAAAAAGAAAAGAAAGAAAGAAATAATGAAAAAAGAAAAAAAAAAAAGATTTGAAAGAAAGAAAATGGAATTTTTATTTTTCAAATATAGAGATAATAAAGAAAAGAAAGAAAGAAAAAGAAAGAAAAGAAATAAAAAGAAAAAAAGGGAGTTAAAAATCGAAGGGTGTCCTGATACTAGAGATAAAAAAAAAGAAAAGTTAAAAGAAAGAAAGAAAGAAAGAAAAGAAAAGAAAGAAAAAGAAAGAAAGAGAGTTAAAACGTGAAGGGTGTCCCGATATAGAGATAATAAAAGAAATAAAGAAAGAAAGAAAGAAAGAAAAGAAAAAAAAAAAAAAGAGTTAAAACGTGAAGGGTGTCCCGATATTAGAAATAAAAAGAAAAAAAAGAAAGAAAGAAAGAAAGAAAAAAAAAAAAAGAAAAAAAAAGAAAAGATTTAAAACGTTTTTGAAAGATATAGTTAATAAAAGAAAGAAAGAAAGAAAGAAAAAAAAAAAAGAAAGAAAGAAAAGAAAAGAAGAAAATGAAAGAAAGATCTGCAAAAACAATTGATAATCCCGATATAGAATAATAAATAAAAAAAACCCTTTTAAAGAAAGAATGGAAAGTTTTATTAGAAAGACTTCTGAATTTTTTAAAACGTGAAGTTTATTTTTTGATATAGAGATAACAAAAGAAAAGAAAAAGAAAGAAAGAAGAAAGAAAGAAAGAAAGAAAAGAAAAGAAAGAAAAAAGAAAAATAAATTAAAACGTGAATTTTGTATGAAAATAAAAAAGAAAAAATGAAAGAAAGAAAGAAAAAAGAAAGAAAAGAAAATGGAAAGTTTCGTGAAAAGATCTTAAAAACGTGAAGGGTGTCCCGAAAGAATAACTAGCACGAGATTTAAAAGAAAAATATCTGAAACAGAAGAGTATCCAGATATTAATAAATAAAAAAAGAAAAAAAAGAAAGAATATTCAAACAAACAAACAAAAGAAAACAAAGACGAAAGTAAAATTAATCTTGACATGGAATAAAGGAATGAAACGAAAAAGAATGAAAAGAAATCCAAAAATAAAAGAAAGAAAGCAAGGAAGAAAATCTGAAAGAAAAAATGAAAAAAAGAAACCACATCCATAAAGAAAATCCTGTCTATAATAGAAATGTAAAATAAACATAAAATACAACGAAATGAAAAAAAAAAACATAGAAATATAAAAGAAAGAAACCTCCAACAAAAAGAAATTTCAAGCTATTATAGAAATAGAAAAAAATGAAGAAAGAAACTTAAACGTAAAGATCATTCAGTTAGAATAGAGAAGTTACAACGAATAGACATAAAGGGAAATAACTCTTAAAACGAAGAGTAAAATGCCGACAGAAAAAGAAAATGGGTGTGTAAAAGAAAGGAGGTTAAAAAAAGTAAATATGTATAAAAAAAAACCCGAAAAATTGAAGAACAAAATGCTGTAAGATATTAAGAAATAAAAAGAACAACTTAAAGAAAATAAAGAAATCAAAGAAAATATCAAGAACGGAAAAACAAGAAAGAAACCAAGAAATATAATTAAAACAATTTAATTTTAAGACGTAAGTGTCACACTTCCACATTTCAGAACGAGGAATTTTTGTCGTTAAAAACAAAGGTCAGCATTTAAACAGGTCAAAATTTGTCAGTACAATTGCAGACAACAAATTATTCTCTAACAAAAGAAAAACAGACATAGCTGACGTCACACTCTTCAGAGTTGCATGAAATTGTATTCTTTTTTCTGCTGAAAAACGTCCATTCCCGATTCTTCTCCTGACGAATACGGGCCAATGAAAAACTCTTCGACGACCTTTTACTTTTCCCGATTTTTTGTTCAAAAGAAAATCGTAATTAGAAAAAAAAATGTTGCCTAAAATCAAAGACATATTGTTAGAAAGCATGGGACATATTATGAGCAAGGATGACTTGGAAAATTTAATATTGAAGGATGGAAATATAGACGAAGAGTGTCTGTACATGTTTTAATCGTTTCTTTCTTTTTGACGGTAGCCATCAATGGTCGGAACCTAAAGCGTGCTTCACATCGTCTCCAGACCACAGTTCAATAGACATCGAATTGGATCTGGTCAAGATCCAAAATAAATAAAGTTAAATAAATCTATACTCGCAACACAATGCTACTTTCGACGGGAAATACATCTGTTTACCGTCTATTCTACACCTTTGATAAAGATCGCTACGATCGCCTTGTGTATTTTGACACAACGTTGAAAATTTCAATTGCACGCTATTACATTGTTCGGAGTATCATCCCCATCATTGTTTCCATATTTATCACAACGTTTCGGTCGTTGTACGCTCCGAACTTCTTCAGGTGGTTGGAATATCGAACTGAACCCTTCATTTCGCTCGCTGGGGTAGACTGTTTTAGTTCCACGTTCCATGTCTAATGGATGTCAGTTATCAGTTATCTCCTGTAAATTCCACTCTCCAATTTCTCCACAGGCTTAACCAGGTATTGAACTCTTACTCTTTGAGTCCTCTCACTGGATCACGCCTTTATTCACTGTGCCATGTATCCATGAGAACACATGACACAGGCCGGAAGAATAGCGTACAACTGCTAAAAAGTTGTAATAAATATGGCAACAAAAATAAGGATGATAGTCCGAACAATGTTAATAGTGTAGATAATACCTCATCTCAGAAATATAGACATTTTAGTTTCAGTTTTAAAAAGAAATCGTATACAAAAGCAATATATTCGGTGGCAATACATACTGGTGGCGCCAGGGGTGGCTGTACTCCCTTAGCTACCGAAACAGTAAAACCTCCCCTAGTTGGCTGCTGACGAGGGCAGGGTATCATTGATTTCAGACGTTGTATGTAGAAAAGGATTTTTTTGGACAGATAGCAGAACATAGACCAGAAGGAATAGTTAAATATTGCTTAGAACTACAAGAGGCAAGTAGCTGGTGAGAGCCATGATCACAAATATGCTGACGCTAGAAGCTGATATTGCAAATCTGTCCTTAGTAAATGGAATTAGATACTGAATAGGTACTCTTACCTTTGTTCTTCTTGCTGAATAAAGCAAGATTCGTAGTTTTATTTAGAGAAAGGTATAATATACTTACACACAGAGACATATATATATATATATATATATATATATATATATATATATATATATATATATATATATATATATATATATGCAGTTTTTATATATAGTATATTTACTTATGGGGAAAGCACTTAATATCAGTGATAGCTAACAAAAAATAAAAATAATAACGATTTCACCTACCATAGTCTTACACAGACCCATCATAAAAAAGTAAACAGACGGATAGAAGATGTGTGAAAGCGTGTGCATACGTATATACGTGTGTACGAGAAGACATTATGGGTCCAACAAAATAGAGGAACGGCCCGCACGTTGACACCGCAACTGAAGAAAGATGTACCTTACACAATCCAACATTGAATACAGCGACCAATTACGTAAGTATGTACGCAACGACACATGGATGCGCATATGTGCCCAGTCCTACACTGTTCATATATGTTTATATTTGTGTGAGCTCCAGTGAGTAAGCGTGCGTGTATGTATGTCTGCGTACGTTAATCAGTGAACGTGCCTGTATGCATTGTCGTCGAAACACCACTCATATGTACATATGAGTGACGTTTCGTTTCCTTCTAGCAGTATAAAAACACCGATATACGCAACCATATATAAATCCAAAATGTGAAAATTAATCAGCTTGTCTGACGATCGCAAATAGCGTGAAACCAAGGGTCAAAAACTCACCTCAATTCAACTAACTATATATATTTATATATATATATATATATTAGGCATTAATGAAAAAAAGACTACTAGGTTACATGTTCCAACCTCTGCATGGACTTCTTCAGAAAATTAAGAGGCCAGCTTTTGAAGGTTGTCCTGTTGTTATATGGAGAATATGACGAAAGACTGTGTGTATTCCTTTCTGTGCAGCTGCGGAAAGAAAGAGAAGACAGGCCACCCCCTTAAGATAAGGCTTCAAGAAAACCAAAAAGCTGTAACACGGGGGAAGTGGAAATATCAGGCGTATCTGACCACATATGGAGAGAAAATGGAAATCACCGCTCTCTGTGGGATCAAGTTGAAATCATAGACATAGAACATCTTTGGAAAATTCGTAAATGGAATCAGGACATATTCTAGGCCACAAAAATCTTCTGGGCCGACCAAACATAGAAATGAATACAATATGAGGACCAGAATAAGGAGTGACAGAGAAAAACAATAACAACGAAAATTGTAATATGGACTAAACGTGCAATGATAACAGCAAAAATTGCAATATGAGCACTGGTAAAAAATGTTTGCTGAAGATATTAGGTTTATAATACACAGAAATTCATAAGCAAAATGTCCTCAAGGATACATGGTAGATAAAGCCGTTAGTTAGATACAGTGACAGATAACCAAAGAGTTTGAGTTCAATACCTGTTTAAGGTAGTGGAGAACTTGGATAGGGGAGATAACTGATAACTGACATCCATTAGACATGACTCGTGCATCTAGAACAGTCTACCCCAGCGAGTGAAATAAAGGGTTCATTCCAACCACAAGAAGAAGGCCAGAGCATACAACGGCCGGAGCATACAACAGCTGAAACGTGATAAATATGGCAAGAAAAATGAGGATGATAGTTCGAATAATGTATATAGTGTATATAATACCTCATTTCGGAAATATAGACAAATGAATACTAATACAGATAAAATGGTAACTGAAACAGTTTAAGAGAAATAATAATAAAATATGCATATATAACTTGAAATAAATATAATAATCATATTATATACCAGCAGTAGAGCCCGGCGTTGCCCGGGGATGTAACAGTAAGAGATAGATCAAGTAAAAAAAAAAAAAAAAAAATTATAAGTTTATTGTTTAAGGTTGACGAACACGCATGTCTTAATTAGTTTTTTTTTTTGTTTTTTTTACGAATTGGTCAAGCCCAAACTCAAACAAAAAACATTGTTTTCAATCGTTATGAGTCTATCGATTGAATAGAATTTTATTATAAACAATTGTCTTGTAAATGGAATTTTTAAAGCATTCTGAATGTAAAAATAAAAAAAAAGTGTGCAAGACAATAAGAAACACTAGATAAATAAAAAAAAAGTAAAGTTTTGTTGAAATCGGTTGAAAAATGTAGGAAATCCGATCCAATATATAAACGAACACACACACACACACACACACACACACAACCTGGGTTTTATAAGTATAACTCGATATGAGTTGTCCCCCTTTCATTCTGGTGACAGAATCGTGTTTTATCGTGTTTTCAAATTGATTTCGTGCAAAAAAAAAAATTGTGTTTTTCTAAATTTTGCCGCTGTCAAAACCACCGCAAGGTAATTTTACGCAGTGAAGTTTTGTTGAAATCGGTTGAAAAATGTAGGAAATCCGATCCAATATATAAACGTACACACACACACACACACACAAACACACACACACACAATCTGCGTTTTATAATAAGTAAGATAAGGAATAAAGTAAAATATATGATGAATAAAAATTATATTTAATTTTTTTTATTATTTTTAAGTAATATTTATCTTCTTCAATTAATTTTTGGGATTTTCGACAAAACGTATCGTCTTTCCTTGAGTCCAGAACATGGCATAGAACACACATTTCGGAATTTTTGCGAGTGCTGTGAACTGCACTTTCGGAGAATGTCTCTGTTCCATTTAAAGACTAATCAAAAAATAGTAAAAGCTTCTAGAAAATGTACTTTCTTTTCTATGGTATACATAAGCAAACAAATGGACGCGTGTGACGTTAATGGGATAACATAAGAAATACTCTCGGATGTTCAGTTCATGTAAGACTACGGCAATTGTAACGAAGCCCCTGTTGCTGAATATTTGCGTCAATAAATGGATTCCTCTGCAAATGGACAGCACGTCTATCACTGAAAATTTATGGCATTAGTGTTAGGACGCCACAAGCGCTTTGCGCATGCCTTTTTCTGCTATCCTACTGAAGCGATTTGCAAATGCAAACGAGATGAATAGCCGATTGTATCGCGTCAATTTATGGGAAATTTAAAGGATTGAAAAAATATAAG